TGTTAACTTTGTAAATGTCCTCTTTGAGCATTACAAAGTTTCATTGTTGAGGCCATCTCTTTTTATATACATTTTGAGCACACTCATCAAGGGTAATGCTAGTCAATTATACTGTCACTGGCCATAGTTTGATTCTTTAACTTGCATGTGTTAAAAAGTGATAACATAAGTCTCGGTTACACAGGATAAAAATCGCTTTTACGGGCGCATTTTTTTTTTTTTTGGGTGTGTGTGTGTTATGTTTTCCATTCCTAACCTTTGTAATGGTAAATAAGAAATAAAAATAATTTAAAAAAAATTGCTGGCAGTCTGGATTTTTAACTGCTCATTATTCTCTATTGAAGATGTGCCATATATTGAAGATAAGTCAGGATTAGATTACTGACATATTATTATTTTTTCATTTTCTATTTTTTATTTTGATGATAATATACAAATACAAATATGTAACAATTATTAGCCTTTATTGATGAAAACTCATCAGTGAAATTCAGTAATGATTAAAAAAAAAAAAGCAAGGAAGCATGAATGATTTTGTATTTCTTTTGTTAATACACTGCAGCTGTTGAGAAGGTAAGCCAGAATTATATATTATTATTTTTATTATTCAGAAAATCTGTGTCAAAGATAGAATTATAAATTTAAAAAAAAAAAAAAAAAAAAAAAAAAAAAAGAGTTAAAAATTTGATGTGTTGAATTTTTATTCACTTATCCAAATATTTCACTATCAGGAGCCAAGTTTATCTGTCTAGCCCCTGGTTACCTATTAGCTAGTTATCCCTGGTTACTAGCTAGCTAGTTATCTATCAGCCGGTTGGTTACCCTGGTTACCTACTGGTGGACCTGTTAACCCCCTAACATTGGTCCCATGCTTTGCTGCATACTTTCTGTGGTTTTTCTCCTGGGTATTATAAAAGCCTATTTCCCTTTTAGAGGCATTTGCAAGGCCATCGCTCTCAAAGTATATAATGCTCATGTGCTTTGCTGTAATTAGTCAGCCATTATACCAGTAATAATCTGTTTATTGTAAAGGTCATTATATTTGATAAATTCTAATAATTTTAAGGAATAAAATATACTAGAGATGATAAAAAAAATAATATTTATATATAATTTTCTGCAGGAATTTAAATTGTAGGATATTGTATGAGGAATGTTCAGAAAACTTTGAGGATTGTGGTATCTTATTACTCCCCCCCCTCCCATTTTTTGCTCTGTTGTCAATAACTAAGGTCATGTGTTTGTTGATTGATGATGTACAGGGTGATTATAATTAAAGTTTAAGTTTCAAAACGCTATAAAAAAAGAACCACTCATGAAAATGACGTCAAATTTGAAAGGAATGTTATTGAAGAAGGCGGAAAGCGTATGGCAGAAGAAAAAAATTAGTTTCAAAAGTGATCAACAGATGGCGCTGCAAGCGGAAGAAGACGTAAATTAAAATGTCAGTTAAATTTCAGTGTTATAAAGCCGCCAGGTACCAAGCTGTCAGCGTCATGGCCTAGGCTCTTATGAGCTTTCGCCACTTGTTCTCGTCATTTCAGACGTTCGCCATGGGTGTTTCACTGCAGGACCGCGCTCTGCTGGTAAAGCTGTATTACAAGAATGATGATTGTGCAAGAGTAGCTCTGCAAAAATTCAGGACACTGAAGGGTATAAAAGAAGGCGTTGGTCCAATGAGTGTCGTAGGTCTAAAGAAAATGATGCAAAAATTCGAAACGACAGGTTCGTTTGATGTGCAATCTGGTAGAGGGAGAAAACGAGTGCATTCGACGGTAGTTGAAGAAGTGGCCACAGCATTACAGGAGGGGTCGGCCGGTGGCCGGTGGTGTGCAACCGTGCAGTGCACGAGGAATTGCCCGAACATTGGACAGGCCTACGAGCACGGTGCTGAAAATTGTACGAAACATCCTGCAATGCTATCCGTACAAAATTGGCCATGTGCAGGAGTTGCTTCCGTCTGACCTGACAGCTAGGGAGACGTTTGCGTTAGAATTCCTGGCTCGCATGGAAGTGGATAATGAATGGCCGTGGAAAATTTTGTGGACAGATGAAGCCCATTTCCATCTGACAGGATACGTGAATACCCAGAATTGTCGAATATGGGCAACAGAAAATCCACTGGCAACGCACCCCGTACCACTTCATCCTGAAAAGGTCACGGTATGGTGTGGCTTTACGGCATCATTCATCCTACAACCATATTTTTTCGAGCAGACGGGTGCTTCCGGTCCTGTTACCGCAACCGTCACTGGTCAGAGGTATGCGTCTCTTTTGCGCAACCACGTGGATGTGTGGATGAAATCATTTTTATGCAAGATGGCGCTCCTCCGCACATTGCACATCCCGTGAAGCAGCTGCTGAGGCGCCATTTCGGAAATGCTCGAATTATCAGCCGTCATTTCCCTACAGCCTGGCCGTCCCGATCGCCTGATCTTACTCCGTGTGATTTCTGGCTGTGGGGATATCTGAAGGATGTTGTGTTCCGTGCTCCAATTGCAAATTTAGCGGAATTAAAGGCACGCATTTCGCAACACATTCTGAACATCACCCCGGAGACACTGCGATCCGTTGTGGAACATGCTGTTTGTCGCTTTCAACTTGTTGCACACAACGGTGGACACCATATTGAACATGTTTTGCGCCAGTCTCGCGACAGTTCCGAACTTCTTTGATGAATGGTTCTTATGCGGTATGTCGCCGCAAAACTCTTGAAAACCGATTTGTCCCTTTCGATGTGATATGTACAGTCATGCAAATAAAATTATTCAACAATTCTAATTTGTCAATGCGTTTTAATGTGTAACTTCCACCTTAGCCGTTGTTTTACGAATCATTTCTCGTCGTGATTCTGCTGCTTACAGCGCCATCTGTTGCTAACTTTTGAAACTAAATTTTTTCTTCTGCCATACGCTTTCCGCCTTCTTCAATAACATTCCTGTCAAATTTCACATCATTTTCATCAGTGGTTCTTTTTTTTATAGCGTTTTGAAACTTAAACTTTAATTATAATCACCCTGTATTTATAATCTATTTTGATAATACTGGTTGCAAATTCCTATTTCAAATTATACCAGTGATGAAAAATAAAATAGCTGCAGTATTATTGTTAAATATGTGAAAAGCACATTACATTATTTTCTGATTTATTTTTATTTGAGAAACCTTAGATTTTTTATATTTTTCATTTTAAAGATTTTATATTTTTCATGGACATTGATAGTTTAAAAATTAAACATATTTATTCTTTTAATTTTTCAAGCTAATAAATGTAATTACTTTACAATTTAAAAATAATTATGGTCTTCCGCTGAGTAGCTTCATTTCTTGATTAGCTTTTCCCTGATGATAAATAAATAAAAATGTGTGAAAATCTATTTCAGAACTAACAAAATCTTGATGTAACTGAAAGGTGCTGATTAAAAATAGATTAAACATGGAAAGAAGTCAAACATATTACAGAGGAATGTTAAATTTCTTACGTACTTTAAAAGGTAAACGGTAAACTTCTATGACTAAACTCAAAATTTGATTCTTCTTTAAAATACAGGATAGCTGTTTAAATTTTCAGAAAAAAAATATATATCTGAGAAATTTGTTAAAAAATAAGATTGCTGCAGTGAATATTTAGTAAATATTCTCTCTTTATCATTAAAATTTTTAGAAGCACATACAGATATCTAGTAATCAACTACTACTGATGAATTACTAAGGAAAAAATAAGCTAACTGTAACTACCAGTAATGATGCTTAAATATCAGGAGAAAAATTTAAGCAATTAGCAATAATTTCCTTCTAGGGAAGGAAGCATTTCTGTTCTTCTTATTGTTATAAATATAACTATTTATATTACAAAAACTGATAATAAATTTGATTACATTCAGAAATGGAAAGACTAACAAAATTATGAATAATTCTAAAGTTTTTAAAAAATTCTATAATAAAAAATACCGCATCTAGTTACTTTTTTTCTTTCCATCATTTGGAATATTATACGGTTATTTATTTATTTTTTCTTAAATTTAATAAAGAAGTTAACTCATGGCTAAAATTACAAGTTCCTTTTTAGGTCTGACAACTTTGACAGAGCTGAATTTTTTAAGAAATCAGAGAAACGTGGAAGACGGAAAAACACAAAATATATATTACTGTTATATGTAATTTATTGGAAAATAATAAAAAAGAATATGTTAAATATTGAGCTAAAAATTATCTCCAAAAAACTTTCACAGTGAAGTCTGTAGCCTGTACTCACATAAATTTTTATATTTCATATCCTCATTTTACTTTCTGATGTTTCTAAAATTTAAAAGTTTTTTTTTCTTTTTAATATACAACAGATTTAATTGACTTAGCAAATCCTCAAGGCAAATAACTGTTTTTTTTTTTTTTTTTTTAAATTAATGAGGATTTCAAGAGAACTCAGGTTTATGAAAATTCTTTTTAAAATATTTAATTTGAGAATATCAGTTCAGCTCAATAGTCTTCATAAAACTTTTTTTCTATTTCAAATACACTGCGAAATTCAGTCAGTTTAATTTTTTAAAATAAAGTTTTAAAGATAAATATATTATCAATTTTTTTAGCCACATTTTCAGATTTAAGCTCCATTTCCACAACTAAATTTTTTTTTTTTTTTTTTTATCATCAACTTTTTCCAAATTTGAAAATGAATATGCACAGTTTGGTGATGCTTTTTTTAAAAAAAAAATTGCATAATTTTGTAGAATGTGTGATTTTTTAGTTAAATGTATTTTTTCAATGTTATCTAAAATGTACTTCCACATCAGTCTTCAAAAATTTTTATATACATATTAAATTGTTGATATGTAATACTGAATATTGAAATTTGATTTATATTGCATGCCCTGGAAAAATTTCTATCAGTAACTCTGAATGGATGCTTCTGTTACTGGAGAAATTATTTACATAATTTAGAAAAAAATACAAAATACTTGAAATTCCTGTTGTGTAGAAATTGTAAGTGAAGAGTATTTAGTGGATATACAGTGATTTAGTAATTGCTAATATTTGATTTCTGTCTAAATAATATCCATTTTTTTAAATCAGACATATGTTATTTTTTATTGCACTTTAAACACACACATTTTATTGCACTTTAAACACACACGTTTGCATTTTCACACATAAATTATTTTAAACAATGTTATTTTTTATTGCATTTTGGGTTAGAATTTTGTGAGCAGTTACACAATTTGAAGCCTTTTGACAAGAAGCTGCATTATTTTACTGATATTGTGTCACTTTGTAGCATATAAGATTTGATAAGAAATAATTGAATCTGTTGGTATCTTAACATCATCCCACATGGCTGATTTTCTCTTGTGATTGGCTGAAGAGCTGGATGTTTTTTTGATTTGAAATATATGCATTTTTAGAAGAGGGTTTATTTTTTCATTCTTTGATTCATATTTTTCCATTAGTGCTCTGTTACATTATATAGCAGAGTTGACATTTGAATTCAGGAATGTTCGAGAGTCGCATCTAGATTTTCTAAAAGCCACAAGTTCATATTTACATCAACTTTGTAAAATGAGTCTAAACTAATTAATTACTTCCTTTTGGACACTGAATAATTTTAGTTTACCATATTTTATTTATATATTTTATATGCATGAGCTGCACAAATTGCTTGCGAGGGCCGTATCAGGCTCGCGAACTGCACTTTGGCCACCCCTGTTATATAGCTTTGTACTTAAAGAAAGTGCAAAATTCTTGTTACTTAATTTTGCAAAACTGACAAGAAGTTTATTTTTACCTTTTAAAGCAAATATTTTACTTCTTCATAGAATTGATATCTCCAAATCAAAAATAGTTATATGTGTGTCTCCGAATCAAAAATAATAGTTAAATGTGCAAGATTGATAAAAAATTCTTGAGCTTTGTGTTTCATCTAAAGACAAATCCTTTTACTCTGTTCCTCAGTTGCTCTTGAATTATCTTGGCAGATATCCCTAGTGTGCTTTGTTGTATTAAATTAAACAAACAAACCTAGAATTAGTAGAAATCATTGAGTATGTCAACAAATATTTCGTGAAATCTTGAATTTACCGCTTTGAGGAAGAAGTCCCCTCTTCAACAACCCATACTACAGAAAACAGAATAAATTATAATTACAAATATACTATATAACTGTAGAAAATATGAAAAAAATTATAACAAATTCAAAAATGATGTGATGTTATGTAGTAATTTGTTTCTAGGCTGATGATATAACTGAAGTTAAGTACATCCATTGACACAGTGAGAAATAAAGAAGATTGTAGAAGATAATTAATTTCCCATAAAAAGATAGAGATCATATTCAAATGCACTTAATAATTGAAATTTTAATTGCTTTCAGTATATATAACTTTCATCATAATAATGCAAGTCCTCCCTAAAAATTGAACTTTTAATTTCCTTGATTTTCAAGACCAAATGGAGCAACATTCTTGATCAAGCATGATGAATTATGAAGAACTGATTAATTAATAAATATCAAATTAATAATGAATAACTGATTACTTTTGTAAATTTTTTGCAAAATACATTGAAGTAATTATGAATCCAATTAAAATTAATTTAGCTTAACTTTCATGTGAAACAAATGAAGTAAATAAATTTAAGAAACATGCATTATAACACAAGGGGGGTGGGGAAGCAAGGTTCCTTAAAATAAATAGCAAATTCTTGTTTATTTTACAATTGAAATTTCAATCAAATTATGCACAGTAATTTACAATTAAATTATACACAGTAAATATTATTCCTGTGGTGTTTCTAAATAAAACCGAAAAGCTAGGAATTACACTAGATTGTAAAGTAAAGTTTAATTAATAGAATTATTTATCATAATGCACGGTTAAATAGTGTAAATAATTTTAAACTGCATTATTTGCATTTAAAGGGAACTTTTAAAGAGAAGGGTGACAAAAAAAATTACCGTATTTGACAGCATATAAGATGCACTTTTTTCCATAAATTTGGTCTCAAAAAAGCTACCTGCGTCTTATACATGAAGGACACAGGTTAACTTTTAACACTAAATGCTATTTTTAGCCCGGATAAAGGTCTAGACACACATAACTTTTTCTACATCTGCCATAATTATTTTTCGCATGCGTGAAATATCTATCGCCGAAAAGCGCCAAAGCTCGAAGCTGATGCCGAAGTTCGAAGGTCACATTACGTCTATGGAGCCCTTCCTTCTTTTTACATAGACTTTCTTTGACTCAGCCGTCAGATGTGTCGGTATCGGTGCTACTCTGTATAAACGTGTCAGTATCGGTGCTTAAAACTATTTGTTTAAAAAAAAATACCCTGGAAAATATGATTACAAGAAGCAAGAGATTAAGCTATACAATTCAGTATAAACTAGGAGTGTTAAACTACGCCAAAGTGCATGGAAACAGAGCAGCAGCAAGGCATTTCGGTCCACCACCCACAGAAAAAAATTATACGCACTTGGCGACTGCAGGAAGATCAACTGAAGACTGCTAAAAAACAAAACATAACCTTCAATGCGCAGCTCCATTTTGGCCTGAACTTGAAAATGCCGTAAAAATGTGGGTGATAGATAAGAGGAAATCTGGGATAAGTATTTCAACCAAAATGATAATCAATGAGGCCAAAGGATTTGCAGAAAAACATGGGAATCAGAACTTTTCATGGTCTGAGGGCTGGTGCTACAGGTTCATGAAAAGGCAAGGCTTATCAATGCACACAAAAACAACTATTGCACAGAAAATGCCAGCAGATTATGAAGAAAAAATACTAGCATTTCATAGGTTTGTTATAAATGCACGCAAGAAAACTTCTTTTGAGCTCGGTCAAATAGGAAATATGGATGAAATTCCACTCATTTGATGTACCATCCAACAAGACTGTGAGTATTAAAGGGTCTAAATCAATAACCATAAAAACCACAGATCATGAAAAAACCCGATATATGGTAGTTCTAACATGTTGTGCTGATGGCACAAAACTACCGCCGTTTTTCATATTCAAAAGAAAAACTCATCCAAAAGAAAAACTTCCAATGGGTGTAATTGTTCATGTTCATCCGAAAAGCTGGATGGACGAAGCTGTAATGAAACTGTGGTTACAGAACGTATGGGCAAGGCGACCTGGTGGACTCTTAAGAAAACCCTCTTTTGTGGTTTTGGATCAGTTTAGCACCCATAGAACTGAAACCATAAAGAATAAAATGAGAGAATTAAAAACCCAGATAGCTGTCATTCCTGGTGGACTGACTAGCCAATTGCAGCCTTTAGATGTATCGGTGAATAAGCCATTTAAGGAAAAAAGTGTGAGAACGATGGAACAAGTGGATAGGAGAACCACATCACACCCTCATACCCTCAGGTAGAATGAAGCGGCCTTTATTTCACAAGTGCGCGAGTGGGTAAAACGATCTTGGGAGGACGTAAAGACTGAAGTAATTGTTAAGTCCTTTAAGAAGTGCAGAATCAGTAATGCTCTTGATGGAACAGAAGACGACGCATTATTTGAAGAAGGTGATACTAGCGATGACGGAAACAGTAGTGATGACGATATTCTCATGTTTGATGATGATGATAGTGAAAAGGATTTTTATGGTTTTGAAAGTGATTAAAGTGTAATTTCATGATAGGCAACGCTTTCCTTGAATCTGTGTTTTTTGTTGTTTCTGCTTTATTTTGTATTATGTTTGATTGCTTGCCATTCATTCATTTATTCATTATTGAAATTTACATATCATGTTCAAAATAGCTTGCCATTTGTCAATTTTCCTTAATAAAAATATGTTTGGTAATTGCATTCAATGATTGTTTATTTGGCTTTTACAAAACGTGAGAAATAAAGTAACCACATTTTAAGTTATTGTGGTACTGCGCTGTCGCACGGACTATTGAAACCTTTTCTCCTTGTGTGTGGCCTTCTAAATAAGGGTGCGTCGTATATGCCATCACATACGGTACATTTCTAGAGGAATAATAATCAACTGCTCACTATGAGGTGAAGAAGAGAGCTGTGGGTTGATAAAATTGCTTCAGACGTTATCTAAGTAAAATGCTCTGTACCAGGAAAATGAGTACAGTAACTCATTTAAAAATTACTTGATTTTCTCTCATTTCTTGCAAAAAGTTTATGCTTTCACTGACTTTCCCTGATCACTTGATGAAAATGATCACACATTTTTATGAATTTCCAGGACTTTTATGAGAAGTGGGTAAAATATAATTATGTTGCAGTGATAAAGTACGGAAAGGATGGAAGAAATCCTACAATGAAGTCTGGTCTAACAGATCTCATTTGCTATAACAACATGCTTTATCTTAGGCTTCTTTGAAGACTGTTTCTGTTTTCTTTTGAAGTTTCTTTCCTGGTTGTTGCTGTTTGCTGCTTATTTGAATGAGTGTCTACAATAATATTTTGCTACAACTTGATGACATCCAACTTCTCTACAATTTTGACATACTTTCAATTATTAATATCTATAATGTAAAAGATATCTATTAGATATTTTTATTTGAAAAACTGTTCATGGAGAAACTTTCATTTATATTTGCATTTGGAAAAACTTTCATTTTCATATCTAATTAATGAAACTGGATGTCATTCATTAGATACTTGCATTTGCAAAAACTTTTATTCAAACTGTTAATTTGGAAAAGCTTCATAAACTTTCATCATAACTGTTTTAGCAGCATTGTGTATGATTCACAAAAAAATTAAATAATTGTGGCTTAAGTAATTTTGATCAAAAGAGGATGGCTTTTTTAAAACTTCTTTGACTACATTATTATTCAATTATGGCAAAGCACACAAGGGCTATCTGCCTAAAGGGATGGATGCCTTCGTGGAGGATTTTCTAAGGGAAACTGGCTCATATACACGTTACACATGGGGAAAACCACGAAAACGCCCATGCAGCCCTTTGACTACAGGGAGAAAAAAACATAACCATAATTTTCATGGCATTGCTTTAACCATAATACAGTGTACAAATGTAATATATATCCCAATAAATCAAACCAGTGCATTTAAGATCTCTTGAAATTAGTTACAAATTATTATTAACTATGTAATGCATTTTTATTCATAATTTACTAGACTAATATTAACATGTATCTAATTGTTATTTACATACAAAGTGCATAAATATACTAGTAAAAAATGAAATATAATATTTGCAATAATTCATATTAGAATTTTCTTTATTAATATACTCTTAAATATTCAACTCACCTTGCTAGCAAGTCTGCCATGTAACTGCCCAAGGGCTTTAAGGAAGGATATGATTTGCTTGCCCACATTGTTGGCACTTTTCCTATCAACATGCAATCAAATACTTCTTCAAGTTCGGCAGACATAACAACCAAGCCCTTGACTGCTTTTTGTAAATTTTTTAATGATTCACGGACAACAGAGGTTAACCTATTGAAACGGATCAATTCTTGGCGCAGTACAGTGTTCATTGACTCTGTGTAAACTACTGGATAAAGTTCTATCACCTAAAAGTAAGAGAAATAACTATAGACTTAAATATTTTCTTAGGGCTCTTTAGATGTTATGGAAAAAATGTATATGATTACTGTTAACATTTATTCGCTCTAATGAAAATCTACTTAAGCTAGTTTTACAATTTAATTAAAATTTTTTAAATGCTACTTTTACTGAATGCCTAACACATTACTTGAAAAATTGTAATTATGCTTATAACACTCATACATTGAAGATATCGGTATATACACTATATTAAATTATAAAGTATAATAAATTATAGAGTAAATATAATATATATTTTAGTATTAATTAATTTGTAGTTACATTAGAGGTATTACTTATTATCTCAGCTTACTTTTATAGAAAACTATATAACAACAATAATAATAATAACATTCAATTTAATTTAAAATATCACAGAAAATTAAATAAAAATCAGTGTAAAATTTTACATTTTAAACAGCTATTACATTTGGAAATATATGAATTAATTTCAGTTCATAAAATTACATTTGATGTAATCTAGGTAAATGTCTGTTGTATTTTATATTTATTATTTATATTTTGTATTTTTTTCAAATGCATATAATTCGCACTTAAATAGCAATGACACTGCTAACATTTTGGATATCAGGAGAAAGGAAGTCGATTTTTAAGGCCATGTAAATCTATGTTATAATTAATCTTTTTAATATAAGTAAAAAAACAGAAAGTTTCTTATACATAGTTTATAACTAACAAAAAAGCTCCAGAAAGTTTAATGAATTTTTACCATTTCAATATCAAAATCTGGTGGCAATTTTCCTAGAATATCAGCAGCTAAATCATATATCATATCACCGGAAGTTTGTGCTCCAGCTCCAGTAGATCTAGCTTGAGTTAACAAAATTCCATCTAAAAGCTAATGAATTTATGTAAAAATTTTTCACATATTTGTTAACATAAATTAATAATAAAATAAACAGTTATACATTTTACCTTTATTTGAAATGAAATATTTAAGAAACACATTAAGAATAAACATTAAATATTCATTTCATTTTTAAAAATAAAAGGGTTATTTCTCGGTTATTTCTCTTTCACAAAGATTCAAATGTTGAAACACATCTTAGTTAATTTGAAAGTTTGGGAACTATGGTGACTAAGTATATTGCTTAGTTATTTTAAGTGAATCTAAAAAAATATATTCCTTATTATTAAATTTATTACCATATTACCATTTTTTATACCATATACCATTTTTTATACCATATACCATTTTTTATAATTACCTTACTTTTTTTTTTTAAATTAAATATTTAGCTTTAGAAATTTTTGTAGAAAATGGAATTATTGTAATCATATTAAGTTAAAAACTTAAACATATTATTTTACATTTGATTTTAAAAACTGCACATAAATTTAAACAATGACCTTTTTAGAGTTATAACATTTTTACGTTTTGTTCACACACAGTGGGATTATCTCACGTTTATAAAAGATTTTTATTTAAAACAGCAATGTGTTTTTAAATAATAGTTAAAATAGAAATAAAAAGCAACAGAAATTTATCTATGCAACAAAACATAGTGAATCTTTCTGCAGTAACTAGGGCCGTTCCTAGGCCATTGGCTGTTCATGTACTTTCCTAAGATTGCCGCCCCCAATAATAATAATTAAAAAGAAGAAGAAGAAGAAGAGCTCAATGGTTAATGAAATTTTTATTTCATATTCATTAAGTACTTACATATGACAAATTCTATAAATAGTACTTAAATATGATGAGTATTTTACAATGAATTTAAAATATTTAGGCATAGTTTCATGAGAGTCTGGCCGCCCGTGATTTTGGCAGCCGGTGTACTTTTACATGCTGCGCCCCCACTAGGAACGGCCCTGCCAGTAACTTCAAGAGATCAAAGAAATAATTCAATGAAAGCATCATAATAGAATGAAGAATTTCTTTATGAATTATTTTCATAGGTTCAACTATAATATAATTTATTTTCTAGAAAAATGTATAATCTATTACTATGAATGTAACACTCATTAATATTTAGAATGTAACACTCATGAATATTTAGAATAAAGAAAAAGTATAGGATACTAAGATTGATCTGATATGAATTTAAAATATTTTAACATATACAACATGAATTTAACTTTGGATTTGATATGAATTTAAAATATTTTAACATATACAACATGAATTTAACTTTTTGAATTTGATATAATCCTTTATAATTAAAACTGACTTTCATTTTAGTAAAAGATTCATCAATCATAAAACTAACTTGTTGTGTTTCTTGATTATCTTTTGTAATATCAGCATTTTCATGCAGACCAAACACTTCAGGATGTGGATTAATAGGTAAATTGCGTATATATTCTATAAAATCTTCTCTTTCATGTCCTTTAGGAATATGATAAAGGCCACTTTCTGAAAACCTGAGGTAAAAGTGAAAAATTTATGACACTTAAATGAATTATTTTAAAACATGCACATTTTAGTAATAATTATATTATCCTTGGCTAAATAAAAATCTGTGTCTTTTACTTATATTTACTTATATTACTGTGTCTTTTACTTATATTTACTTATATTAATATTACTTTTACTTATATTAATATTATATACTTATATATAAGATATTTACTTATAACATTCATCAGTTATAAGATCTTTGGTGTACACTAAAGATAGCAGTGACAATAGAAGTCTACGGTCTTTATCATCTGTTACGCGTCCACCATAATTGCATTCTCCTGTTAAATATGTCAAAGCATCTAAAGGTAATTCATCATAATCATTCAAGAACATCTGAAAAATAAAGCAAAGACTGTAACATGTTTATTTAAAGTGTTGTCATATACAGAACATTACAACAAATACTGAGGCACTATTTCAGTGATTTTTCACAATTTTATACAGAAACATTATTTAAAAATTATCATTTACGAGTAGAAGTCTTATGCGTAAGAGTAAACAGTATGATAATGTGCATGAATGAAGACATGTAGGGCATTTTTGAAAGGAAAGTTTTAAGAAGTATTTTTGAATGAATACAAAAGGATGGCATGTGGCTTAGAAGATCAAATTTGGAGCTATATCGCTCATCAAATTTGGAGCTATATCGATCATTATTAATTTCATTAAATGCCATTATTATTTGTCATTATTAATAACCATTATTAATTTCATTAAATGCCAAAGAATAAAATGGGCACTCCATGCTAACAGAATGGATGAAGACCATGCAACAAAAAAGTCTTCAACGCCAGACTAACTGGCACATGGAAAAAAGACAGACCAAATCTAAAATGGTTAGACTGCCTAGAAAATGACCTATTGATCTTAAAAACTAAAAACTAGAAAACGCTAGTAGAGAGAACACTAGCCTGGATAAAGCTTCTTAAGAAGGCCAGGACCCACCCTGGTTGTCAGGCCATTGAGGAAGGAAGGAAACAGTATGATAAAGCAAAATGCTGCAGTTCAGAAGCAGAAGTGTTTCTGTATTTGTAGACATTTCTTAGCTAATCCAACTTTTGCGTAAATGCAAATGAGAAAACTGCAGAGGTTGACTGTATCTCATGTTTGGAAGGTATAATGTAATATTAATAACTTCTCAGCCATTATCTAGCTGTTACTAAAAAAATGCTTTTGATAATTTAGTAATATAATTAACACAACCATGAATTGTGTTTATTAAGAATATAAAAATTATAAAAATGGTGAAGTTATAATGATTTATTAGACTGTATCTTCTTTAAAAGTTAATTTATTATTAACTTTAATACCTTTGAGAAACCTGAATATAGTACAGAAGAACAGGGATAAAACTTACAAGTTAGTTTCCTCACACAGTATAGTAGACCTTTGATAAGGTGGTTATACTAAGTCTGATTTTTTAAAGCTGTGGATTGAGACTCAAAAGATATGCTTAGATTTTTTTTCCTGGATATAAATTCTACTTAAGAAGTCTTAATTTCATGATACTAGGAGAACATAGACAGGTCAAAAAAACTCGGGCCTTACATGTAAAAAATTATTTGGCAATAAATCTCTTTTGCAGATGTGTAGTGGTACAACTAAATTAATAATTAATAAATTTGAAAGTTTCTTTAATGAAATTGTGTGATTTTTGCAAGGTCTGTTTATTGAATGAAGTAATGTGCTAATTTGTTTTGCTTAAAAATGAGTATTATTCTGTCAGAAAGTTTTTTAAAGAAGGTCTTAAGTCCAAAGAAATAAAATAATGCTCGAAATATGTACATTATATTTTTTCTTTTCTACAGAGAAAAAATGGGCGAAACAATTTTGCATGGGTTGACAATTCATAGAAGATGATTCTGATGAAGATTTATCACTGGAGACATTGACGACAGAAAATATTGTTTTGTTATCTCCAAGAAAAAATGTTAAGTGTCAAGAGATTAAAAGTCAGGGAGACAGCTGCAAAAATAAAGCTATCTAAAACAACTGTTTTTTTTTTTTTTTTTTTTTCCCATTCTGACCACTTTCACACAAATAACGTGTCTGCAGGATGGATACCCTGACTTCTTTCAGCAATTCAAAAATAGCAAATGTGTTGTTTACTATGAGTAGTTGTTGCAGCTTTATAAGACAAATCAAAGAAATTTTTTATTATTGATCATAACTGATGATGAAACAGAGGTCCTATATAATGATCCTATATCAATCAGACAATTAATGGAGTTGAAAAAACTGGGAAATACTTAGGAAAAACTTAGGAAAAGTAAAGGTGCAGCAGTCAATGAAAATGATTATGGCGACCATTGACCATTTATTAGAACTGTCAAGGGATCCTTCTTATAGACTTTAAAGAAAGAATAATAATCATTGATGAAAAATCTTGTAATTGCAAGATCTACAGCATGCTGGGAGAAACCTTTTTGGCATTAAAGAATTCAGCCAAGAAAACGAAGCTCAGAGCATCTCAATATTTTTCCTTGGAGCATTCCATATGAAATATGGAAAAAACTAATGTATATGTACTGTGGTTAAAAGTAAAATCCATCTAAAATATTTGAGAGTGGTCCTATTAAATTTGAATGTTAAAAATTTCATTTACTTAGGCTCTGAAATTAACTATTAAAATTATATTAATCCTGAAATCAGAAAAAAGGATTTTTGCTGGAAATCATTGCTTCTTTGGTTTAAGACCTCTTCTGAAAGCCGATAAAGATAAGGACAAAAAATCTATTACACAAGGTATTAATTAAATCAGTCTTAACCTATGCTTCAGAAATGTCGGCTTTGACTATGGAGGAAGGAAAAGCCTCAGCGATCTTTGAAAGGAAGATTCTGTGTATTTTTGGTGCTATTTTATTATGCAAGGTATTAATAAAATTAGTCTTAACCTATGCTTCAAAAAAGTGGACCCTGACTATGAAGGAAGAAAGAGCCTCAGCGATCTTTGAAAGGAAAATTCTAAGTATTTTTGGCGCTATTTTGGAGAATAATATATGACATAAACATTACAATTCCAAACTGTATGAAATTTAAAAAGATGAGGATATTATTAAATCCATAAAATTAAATAGAATGAGATGGGCAGGTCACCTCATGAGAATGAATTAAGAGAGAATGGTTCTTACTAGAAAACTAGAAAACACTAGAAAATAAATTAATTCTATAATGAAACTTCTGTTTATGGAGAATGAAGAGGACTTAAGAAAAGTTGGGAGAGACTGCCTGAATGAGGATTTTGCCATTCTAATAACTAAGCATTGGAGGTAAATTGTTGGAAGGACAGTGGAATTGGAAAGGTTTCTGAAGAAGGCCAGGATCCACAAGGGGCTGTCATGCCACTGCTACTGATGATGAAACATCTTGGGAAAATCTTTTGCATAAATTGTGCAATGAAATTAATGGTATAGCATGCTGTGCTGCAAAGTTCTATATAATAATGATCTTGTGCATTTAGCTGTCATGGTTAAAGAATCAGTTAAGAAATGTAGATTTAAAGAGCTTGACTAACCCTTTTAGAGCAGAGATTTAATTTCAAGTGATTATTAACCTGTTTTCTAAACTGAAATCTAACCTTCTTGGAAAGAGAATTAATGATTAATATGGCATACAGACCACAGTAATGGAACATTTTGTGAGTAAACCTTTAGATTACTTTCTCAAGAACAAAGAGTTGTTTGTTAAATGATAGATCTGAATACAAGGAAATTACATTCACAAATAAAATATTAAAATTTTCTATATTTATTTTAGAAGTACTTTAGGCCAGAAATTTTTGGATTTATCTGTGTATATATTTTTAAAGCTTTTAGACAAGAAAATTATTTTACATTTCTGTTGAATAACCAATTTCTTGATGTTTGACTATTGAGCTATTGATATATGCCATGATATGAACAGTCTGTAAATAAGATTAACATTTTAGAGATTTAAGCGGTTTGTAATTGATACAACCGGTGAAGCCAGAACAGTAAGTGTATTGGTTAGGTCAGTTAATCTCTACATATAATAAAAGAAAGAGTCTGTCTGTGTGTGTGTGTGTCTTTCGTTCGCGCAGCGCGTAAGCTAATAGACCCGCGGCTACGAAATTTGGTACATAGGTGCATCTAGACAAGAGCCAGTGCACCTCGAAGCGATTTTTTCGAAATTTGAATTATAATTTTTTTTTTTGTTTTGTGATGAAATCGTGTCATTTTGAGACATAATGGGCTATAGGAAAGCGAGATTTTACTCTACACACTCCATTTTCACATCATCATGAAACATAGGCACTTAGCTATTTTACAAACTTAAAATAAATTTCATGTTTCAATAAATCGATTAAATACGAATTTATTTAACAAAGGGAGCCTAACACCTTTTCAACGGGATTTTTTCTAAAAAAGTTTATTTAAAAAAATGTACAGTTTATTTTTCTTTGATTTTTGGACAGGTTAAACTTTCATCTTTGCGGCTGCTTTTACAAAAAGAATTTTGGAAAAATGATAATAATTTGTATTTAAAAAAAAAAAAAAAATTAAATGAAGCTTCTGAGTACACTTTTCACATCTCACATCTTTAAAAATGTGATTTTGGCAACAATTTTCCTTTCTTATTACTGTTGATAGATTTTTGATGAAATTGCGTCATTTTGAATAGTTTCATTCTTTTAGAAATATGGGTTTGGCAACAATTCTTCATCGTATTTCTTATGTCACTGTTTTTAAGAGATTGGCATATTTCATTGCCATTTTTTTATACATATAGTACATTTTTATTGATTTTTTTGATAAAGTTGTTCTGCAGAGTAAAATTGTGCGCGGAATGTTTTGTTTTTTCAGTTTCTTTCATGTTATTTTTTGCTTATTTCACTGTCTGTAAGATATTGAAAAGTTTTGCATGATATTTTTTCTTCAACGGAAAGTTGGTTAATTTTTTTATTAGGATAATTAATATTTGTATTAAGGGATGTAGCTTATTTCATTGTAATTTTTTTTCTCTTGAAAATATAAGATAAAATATCATTAATTATACTTGCTTTTCAGAATTTTTTGTTTTTTGTATTCTTTATTATTGTGCAGTTTATTTTTTTTTTGTATTCTTTATTATTTATTGCTCATTTCACTGTTTTTAAGATATTGAAAAGTTTTGAGTGTTATTTTTAGGAAACAAAGTTCTTAACCTCCTTTATACCATTTGAGTTCTTAAGACTTTGCAAAGGGAAGTTGGTTAATTTATTTATTAGAATAATTAATATTTGTATTAAGGGATATTGCTTATTTCATTGTAATTTTGTTATACATAATAACTGTTTTTTATGAAGTTGTTCTGCAGAGTAAAATTCTACGCAGTTTTCAAATTTAACGTTTGGAGTTCCCTTCAGCCATTTTCCCGGTACATTTAAAATTTATCAGCTAACTAGCAGCGAAGCTGCTAGTTAGCTGACAAAACAAATCAAACTGTAATGTGTAATGCAATCTGCATATATTTACTGATTATCGAATCTTATATTTCAGGAAATTTTATTAAGTTATATATATATTTAAAATGATGAATATACTTTCTTTAACTTAAAGTTTGTCGTATCAATAAATTTGTTGCAGAACCTTGTAAAACTTACCAGTTCTCTCTTTTGATACTTTTAGTGATTTTTAAATTGTACATTAACTATCAGTTGCAATTAATAAATCTTCCTATTAAAAATGTACTTAAGCTCTTTAACAGGAATATAATATAGCTAACTGAATGAAAGTAATTGTCTCTGTGCTAATCTTCTAATTTGCAGGAAGATCATTTAAACTTTTATACTTACAATTAATTGGTCATATCTCCAGAAGCCACTTAGGTACCTTATATATTCAAAAAATTTGGTATATTCTGTATAATGATATTTTTATACAAAAGTGTTCTTTATTTTAATCTTTATTGAGTTATCCATGAAATGAGCTTTAACCCAAGATATATTTTGCAATTAAATGTATGCAGGTAAAAGGAATTAATATATTTGCAAATATAAGTTACTTAAAAAGTAATATATAACATGCAGATGAATAACAGAAATAAGCATATATCATCTGTAGTCAAAAGCTCAATAAAAATTTAATTAAGTATAGCAACCTGAAGTTGTGTCATACTGATTCTCAAGTCTGATTCATTGAATTCATATGGAATATTCCACCCTAACGGACCAAATTTTCTTCTTTCTTGCACTAAAGCATGGAAGAAACACAGGCCAAACAGAAACTTATGCCATAATTCTGGCTGAAAAAGGAAAAAAAATAATCTTGATGTGCAAAACATTACATTTTAAATACATAACTAGCACAAATATGACAGACATTTGCTTGAAGTTTTGCTGGTATTTACCATTTAATTATTTTTTAGCATCTTTTAAAAACTTTTAAGTCATTATGTTATTCTAAAATATTCCCCCCCCCTTCTTACTGCATTCCTTTGTGGTGAAACTGGAAAGCATATTCAGCTAGCAGTTGCAAGGTCTGGATTTTAAATCATGGCAAGAGCAATGAATATTTTTCATGTATTCTGTTTTGTCAAACCTAATAGACTCCAGAGTAGTGCCCATAGCAAAAAGTGGTGGACAACAATACATCACCGATGAATTTGGCAATTGAGTCTCCTATTCTTTAGTTGCCTTTTAATTGTGTGTGTGTGTGTGGGAGGGTGACTGTAAGGTTTTTATGTCTGGCTAGCAATCGAAAGATCTGGAGTTCGAGTCTCAGTGAGGGCATATCTCATTTATCCTATCTCTTGTTTTGAAAAATCTAACGACTGTATAATTCTACCATGTAGTTATCATTTGTTTGCTTTGGAAAATGCTGCCACTGCAACAATATTGCACTGCTCTACACTGACAAGGGAAAACCCATAGGTCACTAGTGACCACAGATTGATAGTCAGAATGTCTTTCAGTTATAATGAATAGTTTAATATAATTTTGAAAACTTTTCTAAATTTATTACACTGTCTGACATCAGAGACCTCATGTACTGACTGCCTGAAATCATAGGTCAGCAGTAATCACTGCTGGGGGGGACACTGGAAAACTTTGGCTGATTTAATTTACAAACTTTATCTAAATTCATTTTAGTGCAGCATATTGGTGACGTATGGGTTTAACCTTCATTATTGTTAACTTGTAAGTCATCTATGACCAACAACTTTAATAGCTATTTTTTGCAGTTTTTATGTTTGATATCCACATAAATTTAACAAAATCTCTTTTCATTCAGAATCTTAAAAATTGTATTTATTTTATGAATTACAAAACAGTCCTTGTTCCTTACCGGGGGGGGGGGAAAGAATTAAAAAGGTAAATTTTTTAAAAAAATGGAATGTTATTCAAATAATTTAATTACATGCATTCGCAGAATATTACATTACTAGCATAATTATTTATTTTTATTATATCAATCACTATATTATGCATCGTTAACATATTTTAAAATTTAATATTAAGTTTTCAGATTACTAAAAAAGTCTATTCAGTTTTTAATAACATGATTCACATTCACAATGTTCTTGTTTTACCTTATCACAGCCATCATAAAAAGAAGGATTTGATATAGGATCACTGATGTATGAGCGCAAAAGGTTGGCTTTCAGTCCTTTTGGTGGTTCATTTGTCATCTTCACCCCTATTTTAAAAACAAGATATACACAGTATGAATCAAAGAACTGGAAAAGCTACTATGTATCTCGTACTCATCTAAGAATATGAAAAGTAAATTCTTCATATAAAGATCCTAAGTCAAGAATTATATAGCCTTCTTAGTCAAGTCAAGAATTATATAGTTCTTAAGAGCTCTACAGTTGGATTTATATGTATGTTTCCATAATATAAAACTAGAAATCCACATATATTTATTAAAAAAATTATACCAAATTTGTATGTTTCTAGCAATTTCTTGATGGTACTGGACACAAAGAATAAAATTACAGACAGGACAAAAGTTTTATATAGCAGAATTCTCAGACATTATTACTGAATTATGGAATTAGAAGCTAGTAATCATAATTTCAGTATATAAATAGGAAAATCTCATATATACATATATCTAAAATTATATACTAGACAGAATTAAGCTGAAAAGTTGCTCTTCTAAGGTGTGTTATAAAATGAAATTTGTACAAAACTGAAAACATTTTAGCTTATGACTTTCTAATACTTATAAGTTTTAAATTTTTCTTTATTTTTCGGTACTTTTTGAATTATAGAAATAATTTTTTTTGTGTGTGTTGTTGCTGGTGTTATATACATTTAAGTGTTGCCTTTAAAAATAACGTGGGCTCAAACCTTTGTTGTGCCATTTGCTTGACTATGTTTAATAATTATGTACAATTCTTGGATTTTGTGAAGAGATTTTATTTTCTAGGGAAATTATTTTAGTTTTTGCATGGGTTGGGGTAATTTTAATGCAATTTTGTATTATATTTTCAAAAGAACTTTATTTAGAATGAGTAAAATTCTTTTATGATACATTTAATTCAAATAAATGAGAATACACTTAGTAATACTGAATTTAAGACTTTTTAATAATATTATTTAACACCCTTCTAAGATCTATATTTGAAAATAAGGCATCACAATTCCTAACATGATAAAATATGATCAACATTTAGCAAAGAAGAAAGCAAACACAAAAATAATAAAATATATGGAATCTCCCTAAATTATTTGCCCTTAATTCATGAGTTTCTGAAATCATAACTTTTGTACCTGATGATAAAAAATGTGATTAACCTTTTCCTCAACCCCAGTTATTTAGCAAGAAAAACATACCATTTTGGAGGATGGAGACAGGAAAAGTGTCTGATGGATAACTAGTTAGCCATAAGCGGAAATTTATGTTAGTCTTATCTGGAGTTATGATCTAGGAAAAAAAAAAAAAAAAAAAATTAAACAGCAGTAGTACTTCAATCAGTGATATCTTAGCTGGTTAAATGGCATTTAGAAGAATTAAAAAAAAATTTCTTAATTAACCAAGACTAAATTTAGTTCAGTGGATACATTTTAGTACAGAAAAATATATAACATTGACTAATTTATAAACTGGAACTTTTTCATTATGAAGTATTTTAATTATAATATTATTAAATTTTATATCACATACTACTAGTAATTTTATGACGGCTTCTCTGAAAAACTATATAGCTTTACCCTTGAAATAAATTTAAAATAAATGAAATCAGAAAAGCTATGTAGGTAATTTAATTTCATATATTGAAGCTATTACTTCTTCACATATGTTTTCTAATGTATTCATCCAGCTTGTAGCTAAGTGGCAGTTTTGCAGAACTACCCAAGAACCATCTTCTAAAGCTTTATCTATCATAGATTTTGCTATGGGACCCTAAAATAAAAAGCGTCATGAAATGTACAGAATGGTTTTAAAATCATTGAATAAGAAGAAGCATTAGTAATAAAAATATGACAACTGGCATACAATATATTGTTGAAAAACAGGAATACATTAAGTGATTTGTCTTTTAGTTTTATACGCATTGTTAAAAGCTTAGACTGCATATGATTAAAATATTTTCATATACATTCTGATGAAATATGTCAAAAAAAGGGGGGGGGAGAGAAGATCATTAATGATTAAAAAGAAAATATCTATATTAATGTAATTTAGATTTGTATTATTATATAACATTTAAGTAATTTTGAAATATTACTTGTCCTTGTCCCAAAGATATGCTTTGAATTTTGTTGCCTGTCATGTCAATGTCATATCCAAATTTCAATAAAGCAGCCATTGGATCAGCTCCAGGTGAAAGAACAAAGATGAGAGGTATGCAGCAGTTGGAATCTGCATATGATCCAACCAAATCAAAAGTTGGAGGTTCAATATAAGACTGACCCATGTTTTTCCAGACAAAATTCTGCAAAAAAATTTACAATTTCAGTAAATGCAAAATACAGCTTAAGCATTTTTTAAATATATTGTAAATATATTTGAGGAATAACTTACAAGAAATGAAAGTACTTTGGAAACAGGAGGAAATTATGACAATCATACTTGGTACAGGTAATGATTTCGTTAATTTGTTATTATTAATAAAGTAGAGAAGGATAACACGAGAAATTCTTAAATTTTGAGTAGTTGAACCAAAGGAAAGCTTATTGAAATTTTTAATTAAAAATGTATTTAAAAGAATACTGATAATTTAATACAAAAATATTCATATCCCTGCAGTGAATTAAGTTTTACCTGCACAGCTGGAATGAGCTTATCTGGTCGAAGACATCGCAGTACAGCCATTTTATTAAGCCCATCTAATTCCCCAAATGGAGCAGGATACTCAATGGTATGTGGATTAGGTGAATCATATACTTCTTTCCAACTAGAAACTCTATTCTGAACACCTGAATTGAAAAAAAGAAGTGTAGTAGATTAAGGTACATAATATTTAATACTTCACAAAAACAAAATGTGAATGTGAAATCATTTTTAGGAAGAAAAATAGCTAAAATTAACTTTAAACCTTAAAATTGTATACTTAAAATGATTTAAAAGTGTATGATATCGCAGTTGTCAGAAGCAGAATGAAAACAAGAAGTGATTTTGAAAAGAAAAACAACTAAATTAAAAGGTATTATAAGAGAAAAATAAGTCTTCCTCTTTTTTACAATATATATTGAGATACAAAAGCACATTAAAAAAATAAAAATGAAAGACTTTGAAGAAGTTAATGAATAACAAATATAAAAGAAAAGAAAAGATAGAAACTCACTGATTATTAAATTTCATTAAATTTTTATGTAATTTTGTATTTTGAAATTATAACATCACTGATCCTGTCTAATTCCTGTCTCCATCACCTGTCTAATTTTTCTCAAAACTTTACAGAAGTTTAGGAAAAAAAAATTCTCAGAAAAGATTTATTATGTGTAGTATCATCAGGAATATTTACATGTATATGCATATGCATATGTTCTGTAGGTAGGGCTGAATGATTGAAAAATGAAATCATATTTGTAGCTTTATAGGAATCAGTACATGGCCACCTATACATATTGTTACAAATTTTTTATACATAGATAATTTTATTTAAATTATATGTGAAACTATAGTATCTTTTGCATAATGTAACATGAAAAGCCAAAGTGATCGAAGCTCTGCCGGAAAAATAAAATTACAGGTGCAAGTCTATTTAACATTGAGGTAAATGGCTATCTCGCTAAATTAGCAAGATGTTGCCAAGCTGGCCATAGTTTCGGCGATTAATTTTATCCGTCAAATTTGGCGCCAAACTTGGTAACCATTTGGCGACATTTCGGTGGAGTCCTTGTATAACTGTAATTGAATACCTGTAATTGACTGCTATATGCAACTAAAAAAAAACTGTATCTTGTCATTATATGTAACTGTAACTATATAGGCCTTCCAGTAATTTTGAGAAATGAAGGCACAAGAGATTTCTCAGTGACCAGATGAAAACTATATAAGACCAGAGAGAGAATTAGCTCTCAGTTCAGAAATTCCTGTCACTGAGCTCGTAGAGACGAGACAGGGATTTTCTTAGCTCGCTCTTCTCGATCTGGGGAGGACATTATTGCATTGCTTATCTTAAATATCTTAGATCTTATTTCTCTCTACTGCTGAAGCTGATCCTGAGTTGCTGTCATCTCTTCTTGATGTTTACAATAAGTATGTCTTCTTTATACTTAAGGCCATTAGGTTAAGAGTTAAAATTTCATGCATATCATGGACAAGGAGGAGATTGAAAACCAAATCAGATCTTGGTGCAATGCCAGAAATGTGGAAATTACATGGACCAGCTTAGAAATTACTAAGCAACATATGCTTTCTGAATTTCACGCTTATGAAAATTCATTTAATCCCAAAAATGCAACTGACATTTACTTAGCTCGCGTCAAAAAAATGGAAGAGGATATTCAAATCTCAGATTACTACATTAACGGTATGAAGCAAAAATAAACCCTAAATAATCCTAATCAGGAAACAAATCAATCTGACATCACTTCCATACAAAAATTACGAATCAAAAAGAAAACCACTATAGACAAAGAAGGTTACATATGTTAAAAAAAAAAATAAGATATATGTGCCAGTCCCAATATTTACATTATGTTAGCTGGCAACAGTAGTGTTCTTGTTGTTTTCATCCCTATCTGGTGTGCATTGCTGTGTTGTTTGTTTCCATGTAACCTAAATATTCCCAATATATATTTGATTATTCAACCTGGACTATGTCATTTCTTTACTCATGAATAATTCAAATTTAACATGTTATCAGCACAAAGCTCAAAAAGAAATGCCATTACAATCCAGGATTGAAGATCGTACTGAAGCTTAACCACGCCGATCGCCAAAGCCTAACCACGTTGTGAACCTGAAGTGACCTGGATAAACAATCCTTTGATGAAGTAAATAAAAATTCTTTTTGGTAAATTTAGCTCGATATATTTCTTGAAGAATGACATCTGAAGATTAAAAAATGCCGAAACTAAACAGTGACAATCATCACACATGGTGTATCCGTTCGTGTGCCATGCTGGTGCAGAAGATATGTTGGGAAGGAGTGGAACCCGGATATGGAATTGAAATGAATGAAGCAGAGAGGAAAAAAAAATGATTCTCTTACCCTATTATTCCTCATAGTTGAATAGTCTCTAGATGACATCAAAGATTGTGTTAGAGCCAGAGATGCCTGGAACTGTTTAAAAGAAATGCATACAAAATTTGGTTTGCTTCACGTACTGCAGATTATGAGAGAATTCTTTAACATAAATATAAAGCCAAATAAGTCTGTCCAATCGTATCTAGCAAGATTAATTGACTTACATAGAAAATTAGCTAATGGTGGATATGCCTTCATAGATAGAGAAGTTGCTCTAGTGATGCTATTGGGACTGCCTAGAAGTTATAAATATCTCATCCTAAGTTTGGAAAAAGATGAAGCAAATCTGACAACTACTATTGTGAAACCAAGGCTACTTGTAGAAGAAAAACGTATAGTTAGAAATGAGAGTTCAAGTTTTGCCATCAACCAGAAGAAGCCTGCTTTTGGAAAACCCATGAAGAAATATGCAGCTAAAAGGCAAAATGAAGAAGAAACTAACAGATGAAGAAATACTAAATGCTTCAGCTGTAGCTAGTGGGGGCACATCTCTAAAAATTGTGGAGAGGCCAAATATCAGATCCAAAACAGTGTCAAACTGCAGGTGACCTCAAGTTAAACATTGCACTTCTGGCAAACAAAGAAAAATCAAGGAAAAGTAATCTGTGGATTTTAGACAGTGGAGCTACAGAACACATGACCTCTGATAAAAGAAAATTTTCAGACCTTAAGAAGTACACATCTGAAGTTGAAGTTGCTGATTGAAAAAGAATAAAGGTCACTGAATTGAAAATATTTCATTTTCTGTTGGAGAAGAAAATGGAGAAAAAAATATCACTTTTGAAAATGTCCTATATATTCCAGAACTAGGAGGAAATATATTATCCATTGGTAGAATTGAAGAAAGAAGCTGTAAAGTAGAATTTGCTGAAGGAAAAGCCAAAGTGACTGGTAAGAATGGAAACACTCTTCTATCTGGTAAAAAAAAAAAAGAAAGACTGTACATGATCGAAGAAAGGATGACAACCAACTACGTTACGAAAACTGAAAGTGCCGACTTGCTGCATCATAGACTTGATCATCCACATTTTTGTACAATAAAAAATATTATTCCCATCGGCAGAAACCTGAAATCAACAGTATTAGTAAATGCACCTTGCCAAGTCTTTATCCAGGGAAAAATGAAAATGGAGAAATTTCCAAAGGCTGCTAGTACAAAAGCTAAAGACATCCTAGAAGTTATATATTCAAATATTGTAGGTAAAATTTCTTCTCCTTCCTTTGGAGGCTCAAATTACTTTGTGGCCTTCACCGATGAATTTTCTAACTATACCACGGCATTCTCTATGAAAGCAAAAAGTTAAGTAGTACTAGAAAAATCATACAATCCTGCAGAAGAAGCTACTCTTAAAATTGAAGACTTTGAATCAGAATATGCCTTGGACATACTTGAAACAGAAGCTCGTGACTCATCTCTAGATCACATAACTCCTGATGTAAATGACTCAGATGAAATCCAACTTCTAAATACAGATCCGATTGACCAAAATTCTGAGAGATGTCCAGACCTACAGCTTGAAAATACTCCAGATTATGAAGATGAAGGCCAATCAGTTACACAGATACAAGACATTGCTAACGAACTAGACCCTGAAGTCGAAGCAGCAGCCAGAAATCCTATCCATGGGAGTGAGAGAGATGAAAAAAGAAACATCAGAATTCTTAAATATTTCAAAGATTTTTATCTGTATGATGCCCAAGAGATACAACAATCTGAAGAAAAAGACCCAGTAACTCTAAAAGATGTCTTGAAATCACTCGAAGCTCACATGTGGTTAAAAGCCATGGAGGAAGAAATTCAGAACCTCATTCAAGTTCAAACCTGGGAACTAACTATGAAACCGCCAGGAGCTAAGGTAATACCTTCCAGATGGTTTCATAAGAAAAAAGACGAGATTGGGAACCGAGCAAAGTTCAAAGCCAGATTGGTGGCAAAAGGCTATTTACAAATACGCGGAGTGAACTTTCAAGACACCTTTTCACCAGTCATCAAACTTAGATCTATAAGGTTACTGCTTGCTGTAGCTACAGAGAAAAACCTAGAGGTTTACCAAATGGATGTGACAGCTGCCATACCTTAATGAGAATTTCTAAAAGGAGGACATACATACATGGTGATTAGCCAGAAGGCTGCAGTTTGAGAAACGCTATAAAAGAAAGAACACCACTCATGAAAATGACGTCAAATTTGAAAGGAATGTTATTGAAGAAGGCGGAAAGCGTATGGCAGAAGAAAAAAATTAGTTTCAAAAGTGATCAACAGATGGCGCTGCAAGCGGAAGAAGACGTAAATTAAAATGTCAGTTAAATTTCAGTGTTATAAAGCCGCCAGGTACCAAGCTGTTCCTCTTCACCTCATTCTCTTAACTCCTACCACGTCAGACTTCCTACCGTCATGTGCCTACTGGGCTCTCCTTATGAGCTGGAAACAGCGCGCTTCGCGCGCTACTCCAGCCATACTTGTTCGGATCGGCTGTTCCTCATTTCGTGTCTTAGACGTTCGCCATGGGTGTTTCACTGCAGGACCGCGCTCTGCTGGTAAAGCTGTATTACAAGAATGATGATTGTGCAAGAGTAGTTCTGCAAAAATTCAGGACACTGAAGGGTATAGAAGAAGGCGTTGGTCCAATGAGTGTCGTAGGATCTAAAGAAAATGATGCAAAAATTCAAAACGACAGGTTCGTTTGATGTGTAATCTGGTAGAGGGAGAAAACGAGTGCA